TCCTAATCATGTTTAAAAAAAGATCCAAATTAGAAAATTTCACTATTCATATCAGTAATTTTTGTTGAGAAACGAAAAATTTCACTATTCATATTCAAATCAGGAAAAAAATTAATGTAGCATATTTTTATCTGATGTCGATTCTAATATTAGCACGTTTGAGAGATACACATGATTAGAGGGATTTGAAATATTTATTTTAATTATATTTAGAGATCTAAATAAAACTTCGTGAAGTATAAAAATTAATTTAATAATTCAAAATAAATATGAGAATCTCTCAAATTATTCGCTCCAAATTATTCTATCCAAAAACAAAAATAATAATAATGAGAAAATAGCACGTGCATATTTCATGATATAAAAGTATCCACAAAGTTTATTAACTTTTTGTGTAAACAGTGAAATAACTAGTCATGCATGAGGTAAGTGATGCTTACAGCTTTGGATACCATAATTGCACCTCTTGCTTTGGTCATAATTTTAAAGTTTGAAAATTTTAAAATTTGAAATATTGTTTGGATGAATTTTATTTATATATTAAATTAAAATTTTGTAAGTAAAAATTCAAAAAAAAAACTCAAAAACTGGCTAATTGAAAATATTTTTAAATTAAATTTTATGATTAAATGCTTATTTTGATAAAAATAAATCTTTATTGATAATTTATTGGCTCTTGATTTATTGATAATTTATATTCTCCAAAAGCTTGACTTGAAATTTTCAAATCTTGATTTTATACATTTTTTTAAACACAAAATTTATAAATTATATTCTGATATGTCTTTTGAAATTATTTGACAAAATCTTTCATGTGTCAGTTTGAGCCTATATTCGTTCATTATTTAATAAGCTGAATTAATAAATAAATAGATCTTTAACTTGCTTAAGCTTAAATGAATTAATCGGATTATAATTTTACGAACTAACTATGCGGCCTCTAATTTTCTTTAGACTCCTGAACTATCCATCATCATTTTTATTTGTTGAACTAAGAAGTCTTTATTTTTTTCATATATATATATGTAATTCTTATTATTATAGTATTTCTCACATTTTAATTATTTTTAAAAAAGAAAAAGCATAAGGCCTTTAATTACTTTAGCTTTTGACTGAACCACATATCCCCATGTCCTGGGAAAACGACTTACCAACACCAAATATCCTTTTGTGTGCACGGATTCTGGTCCAAATTTCAAGGAAAATAAAAACATGAAAAAGAAAATTTGAAAAAAAGAAAAGAAAAGAAACTAACAACAACAACAGATATATCGATTTTTAGATATGAAGAAGTAAACACACGACACGAAGGGAGTTTAGAGTCCATTACATCATACGATATATCGATTCAGAGAACTAACTTTTAATTTAAGTCGTCCATTCTACTCCCATTTAAAGTGATGCTAGAACTGCTGCATAGAGGTGTGCTTCGCTCGACCACACGATGAATATGTTTCAAGCGCTGCTTGAGCAGAGAGCTTGTGGTCACTTGTTCCAACTCGCTTGTTAGAAAGAAATTCATATTGAATTCAACACTACATATAATGTTTCATTAAGGTCCTCCTATAGCTTTTTTGCTTGCTTATACAAAGAGCATGTTCGAGGGGCTATATACTATACACATACGACACATTTGCATTACCATTTGAGCTTCGTTGAACCCCTTACACCTAAGTTGTTCCGACACTGCTAAAATTATTTTTAATTAACGCTCAACTCAATTTACTTTGAAGCATTTCAAAATAGATATGAAAAGTAAATATAAGAGCGAAAATAATTAAATTTTAAAAAATTGTATGGATAATTTGGTATATTAGATAAACATAAATAGTTTAAAAATTATAATTTAATACTATTTTATATCTTATTACTTACTAATTCTATAATTCAAAATTAATAATTAGAATCGAAATAATGCATGTGATTATTGGATATATATATGCAAAGCAAAATTGTAAATTTTCAACCAACAAATTGTGGCTTATAAATATTTTTAAAGCCTAGATAACATTGTCACACTTTTAAAGTGTAGATAGGGACATCAATTGATCTCTATCAAATAATGGAATAATAATTTCAAAATTAGTTATTTTTTGAGATAAAATAACAAAAATATCATAAATGCATCTAAGGTGTGGCCTAATGATCAAGGAAGTGGTTGAGAATCATGAAGTCTCAGATTTAATTTTCAGCGGAGACAAAGATACTATATGATTCTTCCCATTTATCTTAACCTTGATGGATAAGTTACCTAGTAACCGCTGCTGATCTATAAACGGAGCAACCCCTAAATAGGGGTGGGCAAGATATGGTGCAATACGATATTTGAAAATTTAGATTTCAATTCGTAATTTCGATCTTTAAAACATTATGTCATTACGATACCAATTTAAATCGGTATGATTCGGTATACTGAAGTTCGGTTTTTGGCATTCTACGATATGATAAATCGGTATGTGTGTGTGTTATTTCTAAATACCAAATATCGTACTGAATATCCAAAAAAAATTAAAATGTATACTATATACCACACCAAATACCATAATACCAAGACTATGATATTAGAAATTTTGATATGATGTAATAATTCAGTATATACCATACCATGCCTATCCTTACCCGTAAAGGATGATGTTTATAAGAAATAAACCAATAAAATATGGAGTACAAGGTAGTAATTGAACACCATAAATTATTAGCCAACCTACGAATATAAGTGAGCTACTCTAATTAATTAACTCCTATTGGGCTGCATTGAATAATTGATGTCATGCAGTACGATAAGCATTCAATTCATTCAACAAAGGTAGTTTTACTCTTACAAAGTTATGTGAAATGAATTATTCCTTACTAACTTATTTTATATGACGATATTTGATGAGACATAAAATATTAAAAATATATAAAAATGTTAAATATGACCTAAAGCAATTAAAGTTGATTATAAACATCTATATGACTATGTGCTCCACTTTTACATATTGTGTTTGAGTCTTGTATTTTATTTCTATATACAATATACTTTTTCGAATAGGATGGCTAGTATTTTAGTCTATTTCAACTAATAAAGTAACTTTTGAACTGATCAATAACCTCGTTTATTTATTAACTCAATCTATTTTAATCCGTTTAAATTCAGCTCAACACACTTTATCTCTCGTTCTATTCATAACCAAATGACTATTTTAAAAAAGTGAGTTTCTAATTAGTTCAAGGGTGCAATAATTGTTCAAATTAGGCGTGGGAAAACAACTATCTTAAATTAATGATGAAGAAGAAAAAGGTACCCTAAAACTTTTGTATAATGATGAATCCAAGTAGTGGTTTCCTTTCTATTTCTTTTTTTTAGGGTGAGGGTGGGGGTGGGTCTATAATAGATAGCGGTGAAGTCAGAATTTAATTTACGAATTTTAGATATTTGAATATGCCAAATTTTTAAAGATAAATACGCTATTTAAGTAAAAGCTATATTGAATTCGACCGAACTAGTTGAGGGATGTTACTTTTCTATGCAGGGGACCATATGCACCTTTTTATATCTATCTACTATATACTTCCTCTGTTCATTTTTTAATATCATATTGCGTTTTTCAAAATTCAATTTGACTAATTTTCAAAGTTAAATTAGATTACATTAATTTAATATTTTAAACGAAAAGTTTAACTATTCAAAAACTATACGATAGGTACTATAAATTGTAGTTTTTTGCATATCAATATGATAAAAAAATACATCATAAAATGTTAGTCAAAGTTAATTTTTATAGTTTGACTTTAAAAAAGGAAACCATGACAATTAAAAGTAGACGGAAGGAGTAATATAGAATGATTATATTATATACAAATAATTCAAAGTTGTAATGTTACCCTAGTTATTAGCATTGCTTTTGGTTACAACTAAAATAAAAAAGATCATCTCCAGGTTTTATATATGTTATTAAAGTTTGACATGATTTCTATCTACTACGTAGACATTACTGTATATATAGTTGAATCACTTTATAATAATGTCATTTATCGAAATATTCACTATTACTATAGTGAAATATCTTTATAGAAAGCACATAAAATGTAATATTTTGATGAGTGATGTTACATGTAAAATATATTTTGGCAGTCACATGAGTAGGTCGTTTAATATCAAATATATATTTTTATTTAACTATAAAATGTAATATTTCAACAACTGATGTTATTGACGCCCTTTAAATATATGTGCCTCTGCAAGTATTGCTTCTTCCATCTTCATCATATTAGTATTGCTTCCTCCCCAATAACACTAATTTCAAAACTTCACCATTGAAATTCAACGAGTTGTCGTTGAAATTCACCATTGAAGAGTTTCGAAACTCGAATTTTAAAATTTGATATGTCGTAAAAGTGAATTGTTATGAGTAAATAATATATCAAAAGAATCAAGATATTGAGAGGAGTTTATGTCTGATTTTGAGTTGATGTCCATAAAAACCCATCGGACTCGTCCATAGGCCTTGTTAAGCGGCTTGTTCATAAAATTGCACGATTTATCCTCCAAATAGTTGATTTTTAATTTTTATCCACCCCGCCCCCATCTCGACCTCTCACACATCCCTCCAACTTTTATAGTGTTTGCCTAAATTATACACAAATATTTTTCAGGACAATATTTTCTATACATATCAAACACAATATCAATAAGAAAATCACTTATTTTTCACAAAAAAAAATATTTTTTAAGAGAACACTTTCCGTGAAAGTACATTTTTTACCTTCATACCAAACACACACTATATCATTAGATATTTCTTTTTTGTAAAATACATATGTACAAATCTTAAGTGTGTGAGATATGAAACTCGCAAGAAAGTAATAATTTAGGTTGTGTGTAAGAAAATCACTTATTTTTCACAAAAAATATTTTTAAGGAAAACACTTTCCGTGAAAGTACATTTTTACCTTCATACCAAACACGCCCTATATCATTAGATATTTCTTTTTTGAAATATACATATATACAAATCTTAAGTGTCTGAGATATGAAACTCGCAAGAAAGTAATAATTTAGTAGGAACAAGAAGCAAAGGATTTTGTCTCTGCAATGGCACAGCATATTTTTCATTCATGTCAAGCATCAAAGGATCACCATTATTTGGAAGAGACCACTCAAAGTGATAAACCAAATAAGCCAAAATCAAATGCATTTGTTTTGTAGCAAAGGGCAAGCCAGGACACATTCTTCTTCCAGCACCAAATGGCAAGAATTCGAAGTCTTGACCTTTATAATCAATATTTGTGTTCAAAAATCTCTCTGGCTTGAATGAAAATGGATCATCCCAAAGGTTTGGATCATGTCCAATTGCCCAAAGATTCACAAAAACTAGACAACTTTTTGGGATTGTGTAGTTCATAACTTGACATGTTTCACTTGCATAGTGAGGTAGAAATGCTATTGGTGGATGGAGCCTTAAGACTTCTTTAATGCAAGCATTTAGATAAGGGAGTTGAAAGATTGTTGATTCTTGAATGGTGTTTGAGTTTATTGATCCATTTTGAAGTTCAGAGTTGAGTTTCTTCATCACTTCTTTGTTCCTCACTAGCTCAGCCATTGCCCACTCAATTGTGGATGTCAATGTTCCTGTTCCTGCTGGAAATATTTCCTACAAAACATTTTAAAGAAAAGTATCAACTATGTCAACTCTCTACAGGAGTAACGTCTGCGTATGCCCTACTTGTGAGATCATATCGAGTATGTTGATGTTGTTGAGTCAACTATGTCAACGCTCTACCCCCACAAAGATAGGAGTAAGGATGTGTATACCCTACTTGTGGGATCATATCGGGTAGTGTTGATGTTGTTGAGTCAACTATGTCGACTCTCTACCAACACAAATATAGGAGTAAGGATGCGTGCATCCTACCTATGGGATCATATCGGGTAATGTTGATGTTGTTGAGTCAACTATATGAAATATGTAACTGAATTCATAAAAATTGATATCAAGCTATGTTGTTTCGACTCTCCAAAATTGTTGCCACTCCATGTCGGATTCTCCAGAAAGCACTACTTTTAGAGTATCCGACATATCCATCAATATTTTTTAAGAGTTCGAGCAACATGGTGTTTTGACACTTGATAGTAAAACTACCTTTGATGACAAAAATACTTAATGGTAAAAGTTAAAAGTCACATCTAACTATCACTTTTTCTTTGTGAGTTTCACACTTCAATTATCAAATATTCTCTTTTTCTATATAAACTATCACATGTCAACTATTGGTTGTTCCCTTTTCCTAGCTGAATGTTAAGGGGACAACTAAAAGTTGACGTGCGTTTTAAGACACAAATGATCACATATCAAGTAGGAAAAGTAAAAAACCAATAGTTAAGCACGAAAAAATATGCATTCTCTTTCAACAAATAGGTTTGTGCCAACATACCTACGACTTCCGTACAGATATTCAAAATATAAAGAAGTAAACATACAATAGAAAAGTAAGTTTTACATACCAGAAGCATGTAATTGATTTGATCATCAGAAAATCCATTAGCAAGCATTAAATCCAAGAAATCTCCATTTTTTTCAACATAAGATTCTCTTCTCTCCTTTATTATCCCTTCCCAAATTTTAAACAAATTATCAAGACACTTCTTTGCCTTCTTCTTTTTACCTTGAATATCAACAACTCCATCAAAAATTGGAAAAAAATCAGCTAAAATTGGAGTTGTACCATACTCCATAAACCTCCAAATATTCCCTTTCATTTCACTAATAACTCTCTCATCTTCCAACTTAACCATATTTATTGAAAAACAAATCTCCCCCAAAACATTAAAAACATTACCAAAAACAAGATCCCCAATTTTCACAACTTTACCTTGTTTAAAATTCAAGAAATTCATCATTTCAACAACCCCTTTTCCCCTTTTTTCAGCATATGATTCCATAGCTTTACTTGAAAAAAGCTCAGTTTTCCACAAAACCCTTATAGATTTCCAGTGACTATTACACTCTGTAGACCAAAGAAGTGAGTATCTCTTAAGATCTGATTCTTTTATTGGTGTTGCTTTTGGTGCATAACGAGCAGAGAGTTGTTTGTCATGATTTTTCAAAATTTCAATAGCAGATTCAGGTGAAGATCCAAAGACTACAAGCTGATTTCCTAGTTTTAATGAGATTAAAGGGCCAAGAGTTTGGGATATTTTTGTGACTATGATATGGGGTTTTTTGCTTATGATGAAATTTGGGATGTTGCCTATTATTGGCCATTGGAATGGTGAAGGTGGAAGATTTTGGGGTTTTTTCAAGAACGTTGAGTTTTTGATTATGTAGATTAAAGGTGGGAAAAGAAAGATGAATAAGGAAAAGAGATTGATTGATAACAAGTTCATTTCTTGTTTTTTTGGTGAAATTTTGAGTTTGCAATGAAAGAAATGTCAACTCTTAGTTGATTAAGGAGTCACTTAAAATATGATTAAAATTAAGTGGAATTAGTTGAAGTGTAATATTTAAAACTTGTTAGATTTTTAAATAAAGTTGTTAAATTAGGTGGTCTTGGACCTAAAACACTCTGCCTGGGGAATACGATTGAAAGACCGAAATTCAAAGGAATTGACGGGGGCCTGCATAAGCGGTGGATCATGTGGTTTAATTCGATACAACGAGCAAAATCTTACCAACCCTTGACATATGAACAAGAAAACCTGTCCTTAATGGGATGGAACTTACTTTCATACAGGTGTTGCATGGCTGTCGTCAGCTCGTGTCGTGAGATGTTTGGTCAAGTCCTATAATTTACACTCCAAAAGCTAGCTCAAAGGGAGGAAGATTGTTCAATCCTTATAAGGAGTTCACTCATCTCATTAACCAACAATATGAGACTTTTTGCTTTAATCTTTAACACTTCACCTCACGCCCAATGCTTAGCATCTGGTGTGTAGGAAATTTTTGGGTAATTTTTTATTTTTTGGGTCCCCAACATTTGGCGAGATGAGCTCTGCTCTGATACCATGTTAAATTAGGTCTTGGGCCTAATTCACACCCCAAAAACTAGCTCAAAAAAGGAGGATTGTCAAAGCCTTATAAGGAGTCTACTCATCTTATTAACCACAAATATGAGACTTTTTACTTTAATCTTTAACAAAAGTGGACATGAAGAAGTATGAAGTTTGTCATCACAAAAAAAATAAAGGAATTAGAAACTATCTTGACCTTTGTATCTGCCTTTAAGATTACATGGGGTTTTGATGATCGACATATATTGATTACTTATCTACACTTTACCTTCTTACATGGTTACTCGAAGTAAGTTCAATACTTATCTACACTTTACCTTCTTACATGATTACTTGAAGTAAGTTCAAATGTCATCACAGAAAATCATATATATTTCTTTTTCTTGCTTAGAAAAATAGAAGATTCAAATCTTATACAACACTATATAAAGAACATTTATTTTCTTGCTTAGAAGGATAATCTTAAATCACAACAAAATTGAACCATATTACATAGATAGAGGTATATTTTTATTGAAATTTATTCCTAGTCTCTTCTCTATTTTTGAGGTTGAAATATTTAAATAGTTCTACAATAACACAAGACACATGCAATCACAAATATTTAATGAGATGTTTTATTTGCTTGAAGTTTCTTTCAGAGAGCAATTTTGCAAACCTACAAAAAAAAAAAGGTATTATAATTAGTATTTAAAATAGATTTATTGAGAAAGTAAAAAACCCTAATATGTAGCTTATACAAGCAAAAGTCTATATCTATTCCCTTCATTTAATTTTACGTGTCTTAATTTGACAGAATACAAAGATAATATAACGAATATTTTTGAAAATAAAAATGCGTATAACATACTTTGAAGATTACACCGAGTATATATATATATATATTACCTCTTTAGAGCTTCTTCATTAGTTTCAGGATCCTCTTTGGAGTTTTGTTTCTTCATCAAATTTTCACCAACTTGTACCAATAATTTCATATTAGCCTCTGTACCATTATCCATTGCAGTAGTTGAACCTGTTAGTGCATTTTCCTGGTTTTTTTTTTTTACATATATATAAAGAACAATTAATTATTTAAGAACATATACAAAATATACTCAATATTTATACCATGTATATATATTAGTTCTACAAGTTATTATATTCCTTGTATACACTTTAGATATCCATCCTATTTAGCGATGAATTATCACAAAATTTTATTGGCTACGAGGGTATACAACTATAACTTTTGACGGGGGATTTATACATACAAAAATTGTATTGACCTTATATATACAGTATAATTTTTCTAACGAAAGGAATTTAATTAAACGTACCCCCTTGCACCCTCATATATAGTTCTACACTTAGCTACGAGCAATTTAGTGATCGATGAAGTAAATAATTAAGTGAGATCGTCTTACTTGAATCCTGAGGTAATTTTTTTGATCATTAAGAGCTTGAAAGACAGTAGCAATGTAATAATCATTCATGTAAGAATTTGCTGAAGACATAATTTGTAGAAAAGGACTTGAATGTTTGTTATGAATTAGCCACTCAAGAGCACCCCATTTAGCTGCTTCTTGTGCTGTATATGTTGTATAAAAATCTGCAGCATTCCCAGTGCCTAATGAGAGCAACAAAATTTGTTCATAGTTCATTGATTTAATTGATGACAATGCTGGATCCGCTTGCGTCGAATTGTTGGTTGCCACGCTAAGTGCAACTAAGGCCTGTATGTATATTTACTGTCATGTCAGATCTCTCTATAACACTCATTCTTGGTAAGAACATATTTGCATCATTAATAATATAACAAAAATATAAATAGCTAGAGACCATGTTTTTAATGAGGATATATTTAGTCTCACTAGTTAAGGGTACTAGTTGGATTTGAACTATGGTCTTGCGGGTGATCTCTCAATCTTGTACCAACAGCACAAAGACACTCATATGTTTCTCATGGATGTACAGTTAGATAGATATACATATATAGACATGGTTTTTTTCGAAGTTAACAGGTGCACGTGCACATCCACCAAACCATGTGGGTCCGTCTTTGCTCTAGATACATGTATTTTGGATACATGGGGTCAACTTTAGGTGTAAGTTGTTCTAGATTCATTGTATCCAAGTGAATTCACATTTATATGAGATATAAAGCAAACCTCGCATGCCTCCCTCGCCTCTCTCCTATCTCGCTCGCCACTCTCTTGGTAAACCAAATACATGTGAATCACTCCAGATACATACATATACATGTATCTATTGTGATTCACATATATATATATATATATATATATATATATATCTGAGATACATACGACTCTTGTTCGCCTCCCTCCCTAATCTCGTTCGTCTCTGTCCCTATTTTTAAGTATCTGGAAGCAAAAGTATATGTATCTAAGTGTAATATACGTAGGACACTACAAGAAAAACAACTTTTAGCGGCAATAAATAAACATATTAATAAAGAGTGCTAAAAAGCCAATACAAAAGCCTTCTTCCAAAAGTTCTCTTTAATCTGACTGATCCAGTTGATATTATTGGGCCGAGTAAAATGTTAGAGAGTTTTATATAGGATCCAGGCCCAATTAGCTATTATTAAAAAGGTCTAGGGATTAGAAAGAAGGGTTAGGAAAAACTATCGCCGCACAGAGTATTAGTAAGACTCTAAGTCCGTGACATTTGGCTTTCTGATCCTCTCATCTCCTCTCTATGGTCTTGTATCTCATCCCTTTCTAGTTACTTCTTTCTCGGTTTATCTTTCCTTAGTTAGTGTATTATTACTTTGTTATGCGTATTCTACCTTGTAACTTGTATTCACTGATTAATATATATAAGAGTGCTTTTGTTGGAATTGAGTTTGTTACAGCTAAAGTCTTTATCGGCATTAATTAAGTGCCATTAGATGCAATGTCGCTAAAGACTTTAGGGACATATACAAAGAGTGTTAATTGCCGCGAAAAGTATATATTTAGCAGCAATTAAGAATTTATTGTCACTATTGCTCATTTTTGTTGTAGTGGGAAACTCTTAATTGATGATAAGATACGTAGTATTTTAAAAAGTACAGGTAATAATAGTATATATGATAGTGAAGTATGTCTAATTACGTACCAGATTTGCAGCAGCAACACTACCATCAATAAGATTGAACTCAACTTGATTTCCTTTAGCATCATTAGTGACAAAATAATGTGGTGGAAAATATGTTAGAGCTACAGCCGTGCTGTAGCATATGTCATACATCTTTGCATCCAACTCAGGAGAATTGGCTAACTGTGTATAAGTATAAGTTTGTCTAATTAGATAATTATTTCTAAAATCAGCTCATAAAAATATAATTTGCTCGGTTCGTTCAAATTTAGATAGGTCATTGATCCGTTTATTTATTGACTCATCCTATTAAAAAAACTGACATGATATGTAGAAAAATTGACCCAAACTTGCTATAATATTTTTAGAAAAAACATTTTAATTTATTATAACTCAACTCATTTTAATTCGAGTAAATTTTAAATCGATTAATAAATTAATATAATATATATATTTATATATATATATGAAAGATTTACCTTGGACTTAGTGAATATTATTGGCTCGTTTTTCTTTATGTTTAAGGTTGGAATGACATCATTTGTTAAAGCTTGATGCAAACGAGTCTCTCCCAACTTATCTTGCAAAACTTTGTGAAGATATTTTCCATCATATTTTGGAGCAAAAATTGGAGGCAATGCACTGTAATTGAAACCATTTTTTTTTGTATTAAAACATATTTCGATACCGACTTGACCTATACACATATGTTGTAGAATGGAAATAATATGTGACAGCCTAGCCCGTTAGTGATATTGTTCGCTTGTTGGTAAGACATGTTTACTTATATACTCAACATTTTTTCTGTATTTTGTCGATGCGAGACTTTTATCTTAAGTTAGGTTGTCACATACATCCCCTCTATGGACTCAACATCCTTGTTGAGGTTTTCTTATGTGCTGAGGTTTTCTTATCTTAAGTTAGGGTGTCACATACACCCCCTCTATGGACTCAACGTCCTTGCTGAGGTTTACCCTACCACATGAGATTTTTCTAGACTCAGCACTGCGTTTTTTTCCCGCATTATTGAAATTTGCCTAAATTCAGTTGAAGTCAGGGCCACATCGACAAAACTGACATGTGATCGGGTTTGATATCATTTTTGATTGTTCAACCAGCTAGTGATATTATGACGACTTTGAAACACATTATTAATTGGTAAGACTTGCTTACTTATATACCCAATATCTTTCCTATGTTTTATCGATGTGGTACTTCTTATCCTAAACTAAGATGTCATATAATATTTGGACAACTCAACATCCAAATGTGTTTTAATACATATATGTATAAAAGTTAAAGTTTAGAATAAAATTGTCAAATAATATTAAAAACAATTATGTACCTAGGTGGGAAAATCCTTGGGTCATGCTCAAAGTAAAAGGATAGGCAAAAGGCATAAATTGCCCCCTAAATTTGTACCCAAAAGTCATTTACACACTTTAACTAATGGGGCGATCTATTACACACCTTAAGTACATAAAAGTATATATATTTCCCCCTTCCGTCACCCAACCCAGGACATTATGCCTAGAGTGAGAGCCACTCGCCTCCTAGTGAAGCCAACGTAATAAAAGACTTCAATCCAATTCATTTGACCCAACCCCATTTCTTTTCACCCAAACCCGATTCTTTTCACCCAAATTCATTTTATTTTACCCTAGTCCATTTATTTTCACCCAGAAGTTATCAGCAGTCTTCTCCAATGTCTCCTCTTTCCCCTGTTAGATTTTTTCTGTTGCCGCTGCTGCTGCTTCTTCAATTTCATCTGAATTTTCTTCGAATTCAAATGTCTCTACGATGATGAACACGCGCCAC